ATTTCTTTTATTGTTCAAGAAGAACGATGACCGAATCGTTTGACTTAAACGATTTCTTTTATCGTTCAAGAAGAATGATGAATCGTTCGACTTGAACGATTTTTTTATCGTTCAAGAAGAACGATAACAAATCATTCGACTTAAATGATATTTTTTTATCGTTCAAGAAGAACGATGATGAATCGTTCGACTTGAACGATAACCCGAATCGTTCGCTCTTTCCTCCCGATCTTTTTGTTTCTTTTTTTTATTATTTTTTTCAAAGTCGAATCGAGTTAAAATCGAGTTGAGTCAAATCCAGTCGAGTTTAAAATTTGTATAACTCGAATCAAATCAAATTGAAAGATTTTATAAAATAAATTAGACTCAACTCGACTCGAAAAAAGAGAGTTGAGTCAAGTTGATCTTTAAACTCGACTCGATTCGACTTATTCGGAACTCTATTTATTATAGTAACAATTTTAAATTGTATTATTTATAAATAATATTTTAGCCTAATATATTAATTAATTCATAAAATATCAATTTATAATTTTAGTTGATCGATAAAAAGCGTTTAAATGTATAATTACTTTTTTTTTATTTGTATTTTTATCTATTTCAAATATTTCATCTGGTTATATTACAAAAAGTAAATATATTATTTGTTACTTTATAAATAAATGTGACAATCATATTCTTATATAATATATGCATAATTTATAATAGTGTAAAATAATTAGTATTTGAAAAAGTATTTAATAAATTTTGTATATAAATTTAATTTTATATATGGTAAAAGTCATTATAGGAATATTATTCAAAGGAGAATTATAAATATATATTTAATTTTTAATTTATTTTATTTGGTTTGATAACTAATGATTTTTTTTTAATATTTTAAATGTAATATTAAAGTAATTAAATTATTAAATATAAGCAATTCATAAAATAAGACTTTTGTCATTTATTTTATTAAATAAGATGTGCATATAAGCTTATAGAATATAAGCATTACTTATATTAACAATATAATTTTTAAATTTCCTTTTCTATTATTAATTCTTTAAAATTACTATTAATATCACTTTACTTTATTGAATCATAATCCAAATAAATATTAAAAATTTATTTGACAATATATATATATTTTATATAATTCAATTTTTCTAAATAATTTTCTTAAAAAAAGCTTGAGAGTTAAAACTTCAGAAAATATGCTGACAATTTAAATTCATATATAGTACTATCTTTTATTTATTTGATTAATAAGCAAAACAAAATTTATTAATAGGTTTTAATGCATAATTAATTGATAATTATAACAGCCAGTTATAATATTAAAAAGAATTAGCAATCTTAGTTCAGTTGGAAATATTGAGCTCCTATTATAAGTTTCACTGCAATGGTCACAAGTTTAAATCTAAGCTAAAGTATAAAACTATATAATTTTTATAAGAATTTTATATGTAACTGAATACATAAACATATATAATAATATATGTTAAAAACTAGTCAATTGAACCATTAATTAATGTTGATCATTTTTAAATACTAAATATTGCAGAATAAGTGAATGCAAATAAAGTTAGGAATTAATAAAAACTTAATTTTCGCTGATAGATCTATAATGAATACTGTCTTACGTTTTCAAATTTAGGGACTCTTACACAAGTAAGAAAGTGATTAACCAGTAATTAGTAGATTAAGCAATATCTTTAAGGTAATTATAGTTGATAATAAATTGAATTACACTGTCACAGCAAATATTTAATTGAGCTATTGCTTAGAATAGAGGCTGGGTTTAATTCCTGGGTGAATTTGACAATATGGATATAATAGCCACCTATCTTTTTAAGTTTTATAATAGATGATTACATCCTAAGTCTTTCTGATCATGAATTAAAATACCCTAAATACCAGGCAGAGATTATAGTAATTCTAATTAGTGTTAGTAAAAATGAGGAAATAATCGACTAATAGTATCTGTGACTGAAAGTGATCCTTCTATTCAAATTTGACAGCAATTCTGAGGTCCAGTGATGCTAGAGGCTTAACTTTTAGGGGGTCACTCTGGTGGTAATCCTTGAATCAGTATAATTAATGGGATTATGGTTAGATCATTGTCTCTGCCAAGATATTCCCAGTGAATAAGTCAGGCAAATGGAGGTTTACATGACTCAATTGTGTTGATTCATCTCCCTTAAGGCCAGACTGGTATATCGAATTCTGTATAAATAAAAAAAAATGTTATAATATTAAAAGTATTCAAATTTATTCAGTTAATAAAATTATAACGATTAATAAAAGCAGGAAAAAAATCAGATCAGATTATGCCCATTCACTTGTACTAAGTTGTCGATCATAGTAATATATTTTCAACCGATTCGATTGAAAGAAAAGATGGAAAGTACATTATTAAAAAGCCCAACGATACTTCAAATTCTTTAGAAATATGGGTTAAGAGGATTATGTGTCGCTCTCCTTGTTTAAATATTTTTCACTTAACCTCATTTTCTCCCTCTCGGCCCGTATCGGTAAATTTTAGCTTCCTTTATATAGGAAAGGTAGATCTTGATCCAGAGAATGGGGATTGAGATGCTTGATTACGTCAAATGAATTCGGATTACATAAATTATCGCAGCACGTAGCGGATTTTTTAATTCAACATCAATGAAGTTTTATCCAAAAGATCCGATAAAGATTATAGAAATTGTGTATTCACATTAACTATTCATCAACCTTCGAGAATTTTGTTTGATGTGATTTGTTCCGACCCAGAAACACTCTTGGCCACAGATAAGTTCAGTTATTTATCGGAATTAATAGTGACACAATTATTGAAAAGGGAAGATATATCATCTATTAAAGAAATCACAATATGGGAAAATTTAAATCAATTGAGGATTGGCAAGGAATCCTACGATAGATTTTGATGTTAACAAATGGACAAAAGATGATACGGTATTAATGAATAGTACCATAGGAAAATTCATACCTTTAATTCAATTTTATGATTTGTCTGCCGAAGATTTTTTTAATAGGGTCTTGCCTTATGAGGAATTAATAATAAGAGAACTTAAGCAAAAGATTCTCAAAGCTCATATTTTACCCGGATCAGCCAAAACAGTACCGAAATCATTTAGATCCTCATCAGATGATCAAATTGGATAGATAGGAAGTTTAATTGTTCGAAGCGTAAGCGTAAGACACTTCTATTCTACTGCAAACCATGCATGAGTTGTCTGTCCGCACGCGTGATATGGTCAATCAAAAACTGGGATCATGTGTAAAGTATTAAATTGTGCATTTTGTTTACATAATACTTTTTTAATGATATATTTTACTAGGTTTTGAGATTTGTGAATTGAAAGACGCTTCGGACGCTCCAACGGTTCCCGTTACCTAGTGGTTATCAAAGTTTAAATATGGCCCTTACGAGTTTAATTTATTATTGTATCCAGACGAGCAAGTTGTGTTATGCATCGGGGGAATGGAAAACATTTTCCAGCCTTGAATGAAAATAATTTTTCGTTGCTTGCCTTCCTGAATGATTGATTATATTATTATTATAATTATTTTATAGTTTTTGTATATATTGGTTCAACAAAAACTAATGTTTTGCTTGTAAACAACCAATTAAACGAAGTTTACAAATAGTTTTATTTTGAAATATTCTGCATACAATTTCCATTCAAATATAAATAGGTTGTGTTACGTCAAATAATTTAGAGCGGACTTGTGTGTCTGCCTTATAAGCCTTATAATCGAATTGACAACGATGCGAAAACGAATATAATCAGTGAATTTCACTATTGAAAAATAAAAATTAAATCTACAATTAATTTTCAATCTTGTAGTCTATTTATATAAAATAATCACTCGTCGCGAAAAAGCCATATTTATAATTGGACAAGAGTAGATGTGTTTATTTCCTCAATTATATCGTTGCGATGTGTAGTATTAGCGATTTTCCAAAAAAAAAAAACATGTCGGCCCGTTCTGGACACGTGATTTAAACCGATTAAAATCAAAAGGCCTTGTCATTGGGAAGAGAGTATACAATGGAAACATTCAATTAAAATAAAATATACCAATAAAATTAAAACAGAATTTTTTTTTAACGTGATTAAAACAGAATTTACTCTATTACAGTTTAAATTTGAATTAGCGTTAATTTTAGATTTAGGGATTATGACTAGAGCTAGATACTGCATTTAGTTATTAGGGTTATTTAGGGTCTTTATTATATATTGTACGTTCGATTTCCTTTGAAAATATTTATTAAAATTTTATTTTCATTATTATTGAAATTTTACTCTTTCATGTTACTATTGTCTATAATAATGCTCTGAACAAACTAAGCATGGTGAATTGGAAATCCAATATTTTTTAATTGTATTAAGCTGTACAGGTTAGTCTCGAAATAATTTTTTTTTTTGATACTTGAACTAGAATTTTAATTGGTCAATTTACCTAAGGCATATCCATCTCCACTGCTACCACACCTCGCTGTCCAAAACTTGTGGTAGCGAATCAACTCGAAAAAAGAACCTAAATTTGGAAGAAATAATCAGTCACTTGTGCCCTGAAGCAATCTAATAATAATAATAATAATTTAATAAAAAAAACATTACCGAAAGAAATTATCAAACAAAAAATTTATTGATAAGATAAAATTAAAAATAAAACTTATGTGGCCATCGAAATCCGTTGAATTTTCAAATTTATCTTGAAAAGTTTTGAAAAATAAAGAATATTTTTATTAGTCGAATTGCACGGTGCGAACTTACTTATTCTAAATCAATGTGGAATAGAACTTTCGCTATTAATGATGCCTTATTTGTTCTTTTGTTTATAAAAAAAAAAAAATAATAAAAATAAAAGCAATAAAATAAATGTAATGATTTGTAGGCGGATTTTTCGGTATGTGACGCAGCGCCGAATCGGATAAGTACTTAAAAAATAAACCCTCTTCTGCGTCCTTTTATTGATTTAGGTAGTGTTGGGGTTCAGCGTCGAACCGGGTAAGTATTTGAAAAATTTTTTCTATAAAACACTGTCCATTAAGCATAGCTATAAAAATGGAAGATATTTGGTAAGATCTAACCATAAACTGATATGATCGTCAAAAATTATTTTCATTATCAATCAGGTGAGCAATATCATGTGATATATCGAAAATCAGCTGAGATTTATATTAATTTAAAATTAAAAATTATGTCGGTGCTGCTATAGTATAGCGGTATAAAGCACTTGACAATTCTAATCTCGAATACTGGGTTCGAGTAAAACTAATACCAAAAAATAATAATAATTAAAAAAAAAAAAAAAAAAATTTTTTTTTTCTTAAAATTATATTTTAAGCATTACATAGAATAGTTTACGTGAGTTTACCGTTTTTCTATATTATGAACACTTCATTCTTGGGAACGATAATAGGTATTTAACGTTTTTTCAAAAAATAAAATTAAAGAATGTCCGTGTTCTACTAAAACGTCGTTTTTTACAGTATTTTACTATATAATAGTCGGAAGTGCATATGAACTTGCCCATTATAATAGTTTCAAAAGATTTTTAGCTTCTTCTTTTCCCACTACAAATGACAAAACATGAAAAAAGATGTTTTAGTGACGAAGCTTATTGACGCTTATTATTCTTTATATTATTAAACGCCAACAGTAAGAAAGGACAATTTGTTTATTTCGTAATTTGAATTTTTTTTTTTTTTATGTTTTCATTATTTTTCTTCCAATAGATAGACCAGGTAACGAGGGATAACGTGCGGTTGTAGTTTGATGTGAAGTACTTGATTTAATTGCAACTAACAGTATTAGGTTTTATGAGGATGATGCTCAAGAAGTGGGTAGATAGCGTATAGTTTTCTTTGATAAGGGTCTGCTTTTCTGGTGTAAGAACTGCTATGTATTGTACCTTCCCTCACAGATCAATCAAATAACGCTCATGAGCGAGCTCCTTATTTTCTGAATACCTATTGGATTTACCTGATATTAAAATTTCATACTGAAATATATTATTCTATTTACTTTATTTTTTGGTGAGTTGTATGATTGTCCCTTATAATTAGGTTACAATTATTATTCACGTATTAAATAAAAATATATTGAAATATTAAATAAAAGCGTTGTGATATTTACTAGGTATGGTTATTGTGCTTCTTTCTTTATATTTAGTTGTGATATATCCTTTTATTAAATTATAACAAGAAATTTTCGATCTTTTTAATGGACGGATGACTTTAATGATATGAATTTTTATATTTGCAGGAAAAAACCTGATTTTGAAATTTTATAGCATTAGAGAACAAGTCAGATACTCTTGTTAGTCTGATTATGATATCCCTTTAACGATAAATCTCAAAACTTAAAGTCTTTAAAAATGGAGGAAAACAGGATGACGATGATGAACATCCCAATTCTGATTCATAAAAATTGCATTCTCATCATCAAGAAGCATTTCATCTAATTCGAAAAATTACAAGAATCTTTCAAAATTTAAAGACATTAATATTAAGTATAAATATAAAGAAATCAAGTTATATTCGGAGAAAAATTGTCCAATGTATTAATAAAATCGGCATCAAATAATCTGAGTAACATTAGATTTGGGGAAATTAATTTTATCATGGGTTTTAAATTTTCCTTGAAAATTTTGAAAACTTTGTCGATAATATAAACAGATTTACATATTCACTGTAATTACAAAGCATTATGTTTGTGTTAAAAACATTTATAAATATATAAGATGTTTATGAAATGATTAAAATTTAGGAAGACATGTATATTATTTTGTTTCTCTTGACCCGACCGCACAAAAACTCGATTTTTTTTTATAGTAAAATATTTATCACGTGACTTTATATAATGAAAAATCGTAATAGCATAGCATATACTTTATTATAAAAAAATTTAACATACTATTTTCGTGATTTTATTTGTTATTTGAAACTTGATATTCTTAGCACGTTTTTTTTTGTCAGAAACTGTCATATAACATTCACTACAATAATAGTAATATCCTTCATTTACCTTTCTATTTGCGTAATATAAAACATATTATAAAATACATATAAAAAAAATTTATATATAAAAAAAAACCGGGTGACCGTCAATTTTAAAATTTCTAAAAATTTTTTTTGCCCGGCCTAACAAAGACAAACTTCCCTTGTTTTTAAGAAAATGTATTCAAAAATCTCTGTTTTCATGTTTATTAATTTATAAAGATCGTACTTCGGATCTTACAACCTTAATTTTATTATTAACAACTAAATATTTTAAAAATTTTGTTATAAAATGAATTTGTTCTTTTAACCAGAATTGATATTTGCACTTCGACTAAAATTATCTTTTAAAGTTTTGGTCAGAGTCTAAAAGATGTCAGGAACTCCACTCGGCTAAAAATTATTCAATTGAGAATTTCGCGATGCGATGTAAAAATACCTGCTTAGTTTTTGTAGAGCCGAATTAGCCATCGGTCTGACTCCAACAATTGGTATCAATAAGACAACCCTTACATGATTTATTCATTAAGTCTGATCTACTGAAAACGTTACCACTCAAAAAACAAAAACAAAAATAAAAATAAAAATAAAAATGAAATATAAAATATTCCTAAATTAAAATATACAGTAAGCTTAGCGGAAACTACATTATTCTTAATTAATATGAATAGAATAACTGCCGCTCCAAGTGTATTTGTTCTTAAGAGTAGTTAGGCAATTTAGCGGACCACTTGGGTGTCCTCTGAAATGGGGTGACAGAGCTGAACTCCCCTTACCCATATCACTCTATAGGAGTTAAATCAGCATTTTTTTTTTTGTTCTAGTTCATATTTTCGCTTATAAATTTGCAATAATTAATAATCATTAGCCTAGCTCAATTAAAATTTTCTAGTTATTTTAAATCAAAATTTTAAAATATTTTATATTCTTACAGCATTTGCCAAAGCAATAAACCCAAAGCTTGCTTAATAGAGATTTTTTAGTTTGGATGGTAAGTTTTCGTTAATTATTTTTTTTTGATCATCAAGTTAATGACGCAATTACGAGCTTGAAGTCTGAATCCTACAAAATTGTGAATTTTAAATTATTATCGTGATTTAGTTGTAACTTTTGAGATCAAAGTGTCGACTCAAGCATAAATTCGTATTAATAA